TCCGCCACCGAAGGTGGTGCCGGAGGCATCATGTTTTCGGGTTGTCCGTCCGTACGTCCGTACGTCCGTACGTCCGTCCGTACGTCCGTACGTCTGTCCGTACGTCCGTACGTCCGTCCCGTTTGACCGTTATCACAATATCTCAAGAACCATTTAAGATTTAAACTTAAGACTCTGGAATAGTATTTATCACCATAGGAAGACGATCTGATTAGATTTTGGAGTATGTAGGTCAAAGGTCACAGGTCACAGAGGTCAACTTATGAAATTCCTTGTATTGAGTTTGTTAGCGCGATATCTCAAGAACCATTTGAGATTTAAACTTCAAACTTAGTGATAGTGTGTATCACTATAGGAAAACAATCTGATTACATTTTGGAGCACGTAGGTCAAAGGTCAAGGGTCATAGAGGTCAACTTATGAAATTCCATACATTGAGATTGTTATCATGATATCTCAAGAACCACTGGAGATGTAAAAACTTCAAACTTAAGGATAGTATGTATCACCATAGGAAGATGATCTGATTAGATTTTGGAGCACGTAGGTCAAAGGTCAAGGGTCACAGAGGTCAACTTATGAAATTCCATTCATTGAGATTGTTATCATAATATCTCAAGAACCACTGGAGATTTAAACTTCAAACTTAATGATAGTGTGTATCACCATAGGAAGACAATCTGATTTTGGAGCACGTAGGTCAAAGGTCAAGGGTCACAGAGGTCAACTTATGAAATTCCATACATTGAGATCGTTATCGCGATATCTCAAGAACCACTGGAGAATTTTCACTTCAAACTTAATGATAGTATGTATCACCATATCATAATATCTCAAGAACCACTGGAGATTTTAACTTTAAACTTAATGATAGTGTGTATCACCATAGGAAGACAATCTGATTAGATTTTGGAGCACGTAGGTCAAAGGTCAAGGGTCACAGAGGTCAACTTATGAAATTCCATACATTGAGATTGTTATCATGATATCTCAAGAACCACTGGAGATTTAAACTCCAAACTTGTTTAAATTGCTCTATGGCGGAGGCATCATTTTCGACTGCGCGCAGTCAAAATTCCATCTAGTTTCGCCTCTACATTAATGGGTTCAGAAATTTTGTTGATCCTGTGTGAATCATTAATTTATTGTGGGTTACAAACCTCTTACATGTGAACACTGAATTTGATGAAGCTTAAATACATCATCAGTTTATCAATTAGTGGTGAGGGTTTGTGGTAGAGTTTAATTATTAATCTTTTTACGGTACAACCTCTAAATCCATTTTTCACCACAAGGAAAGCTTTTAATTAAATGCTGCTGCATTTATCACATAATGTACTCACATTACGAGATAGAGTTTGGTTTTTGGTGGTAAAGATATAATTAAAAAGGCAGTTATTACTTGTCGTTCTTCTGATCTGAATATTTGTTGTACTAATGAGGCCTACTTACTACTTTAATCTTTGATCAGCGTAGTTTAGTTAAATTAGATTACATTTACCATTTATATTGAGATGAAGATAAGATACTATAGTAAATGAGTATGTAAATATTTTAATAAGATATTTTGTTACAGATAATAACAGTTATCTCAAATGCAATGATGGGATTAAGATAATCATCTTTAGTTATACAGTTATACAGTGTGTGCGGGCAAGCACTGAATCCAATGACCAGGGTAATAGTATATTTGTAAAGCGCTTAGAGACATTTGTAATAAGCGCTATATAAAAATTAAATATTATTATTATTATTAATACTATGTTTTTCTTTTGTTTGTTTGTTTGATTTGTTTGATTTTTTATATATATATTTTTTTTGGGGGGGGGGGGGGTAAAGGGAGGAAAAGCTTGTTATGGGATAATAAGCATATATCAATTTGGGGTTTTGAGTTAAATAAAGACCATGCCATGTGTTGATTATTGCATGACCTGCATGAAGGCCTTTGTTTATATTTTGTTGTTTTTGCTATGTTTCTTTGCATAATAAAACTCATTTGATATACTCAACACTATTGGGAGAAAAAAAAATAATCATGTTATATTAAAACAATGCACTTTAGTATGACTTTAGGCCCTGCTGTCTGATCAAAAAGTGTACTATTCCATTATTTCTACCATTGTTGGTAACGTTATAGATCTGTTTGTATTTTTCTTTTTTTTCAAACATCCAACCTCAAGTTTTGTTGCAATAAAGAAATAATAATAATAGTGATACTTGTTTGATTAAATTGTCCATATGCCAAGAAAACCCAACTCCATCTATACTGAAGTGCAGATAGGTAGGTGAGAGTGCATAGCGATGTACATGTATGCAGCATGCATGCACGTTGAACTGTTGCTTAGATTAGCAGATATGTGCAGGGATATGCAGGGATAGCAACAAAGGGAATTTCCATAGATTTATGATAATGTGCCTCTCATATTGAGACTAGTCTTCGTCACAGCCCCTTTTATGATGGGGTGTCGTTGACTTGTTATGTGTGGGATGGGATAGCTTATGATTTCCTTCTACATTTTATGATATACAGTAGTTGAAACCACTGCAATTAAATTGGAGCTAATCTTTATGGCTCTTGTGTGCTATTGTTGAAATTGTCTTGGAGAATAGGATGGGGGGGGGGCAGGAATATTAATTTGGTTTTAAAATCTGATGTTAAAGTTGAAGTAAAGGCCCAACATGCGTGTAGCTTGACATTAATTCATTTGAATAACAAACTATAGCATACATGTAATACATCAATAACTTTAATATTCAGTTTCATTTTAATTAGGGCCTCTTTAAAGCTATGATAAAAGCAATTGTTTAATCACATCGATGCTAATGTACATGTATTTAGTAGCCTAGTATTTAGATAGGAATGACATATAATACACATGTACATGTACATCAATGTAGATTCTTTTTTATGGGACTGGAGGGGGTCATTGAAATGCAAAAAAATGGCAAGTCGATGATATTCATATGTGTCTGTAGGCCTATGATCTAATGCATGATGAACATTTAATAATTTGGTTAATTTGATATGTTGCATGTTAAATACAAACTCCTCTTTGGCCTGCCTGTATGTATGCATCCACTTCTAGGCCTATGATAAACACCAACAGATATTTTATTCATAGGGTCTGATTATAAAGACTACCGATGTAAACACAGAGCTATACCCTAGTCATCTCATCTGTAAACCGCAATAGCAGTCATGTAAGCCCAAGTGCAACGTTTGTCTAGGGGAAAACTGTACACACTGGTAGACCAGCTGACACTGCCATGCCAACACTGCAAATCAGTAGTCTCCTAATTTCATACATTTTCACAAAAACTGATGTAGTGTGTGCAACTTCAGGGTTCTCCTGTAATGTAAATATAAATAAAATGTTATTAAATGTTAAAACTCAAGACTGATTGACCACCTCTAATCACAATTAACCATGAAGTTACAAACCACCTCCCTATCTATGAGAACAGAGTCTGAATATATAGTCTACTTGGTCTGTCTACTGACTAATAGCTAATAATGTGTGTCTGTATATCTCAAGTAAGGCAGTTGGCAAATGAAGCGAAGCATGCTGGAAGGTATCATATCTCTATTGAAAAGCCTATCCTAGTGTACTGATCCATAAAATGATTCCATAATGAGTTGCAAGCGTTACAATATTTATCTCATGTTTTAACAGTCCCCCCCCCCCCCCTTTTATTCAATCGGAGGATCTAACCTCTCTGATCTACATACAGATAGAGCTACTGTGTGTGGTAATTGATCGACGACTACATACCCCAGTAGCCTTCCAAATGTCAGGATAATCTACACCTGTAATGTCTTGTCTTCAGGGATTGTTCAAAGCATCAACTCAAAAGTTCCCAAGTAACCACCGCCCCTCCCCCTTCTATCGAAAGGTGACAAGTTTGTCCTCAATTCTTCCAGGGTTCATCAGTCTTCAGTGACTTGCTATGAAACTTGAAAGCATATGTTGTCTTGGGGTAAAAAAAGAGGGAAAAGTAGTACATGTAGGAAAAAGAAAAATAGTATCCTTGCTTCGTTGAAATAAATAGTATTCCAGAAAATGTCTCGTTCTTGATAGTACAATGTTATGTTAATAAAAGGCATGACTGCATTGCAAACACCTCATTGCAAGATGAAACAGTATGAGATGTGTTTATAAGAGAAAATGCAGTATATATGATCACGTACATGTACATGTTTACATGAAGTCCAAAGACTGAACAGTGTCGTATGCTTTCTCATGACATGAGCATGTTGTTTGCAATCTTCTGCTGTATGTAGGTGTACATGGCTAAATGTTCATGTCATTGGCAGTCTGTTGGAGTATTTATAGTAATTTTAGCATTGTTGCCCTTTGATGTGGCGATGTCCCGTTTTGATTTGCTCCAAAATGAATCGAGGATCGAGTTGCACCCACGAATGCCAAGCATTTCCATGGAGGGGGACGGTGTGAGAGACAAGTAGAGAGAGAGACACACATACGCACACACACACACACACACACACACACGCACACACACACACACACACACACACACACAGAGGCAGACAAACAGAGAGAGAGAATGTGCACTGCAGTTATGTATCTATTATTATTATTATTTGTGTCAAATACCATTGGTTGTGAGAAGGTTACAGTATGTACAACTCATATGCCACAACATACTGGGCTTCTATCAATTTCAAAGTACTTGCCCTTGTACTAAAGTGTAAATCACAGAATAAATAGTTAAAAGGATAATTTTTTCGTGCAAGACCTGAAAAAACACAAATGATAATTGTTAAAGATTTTTGGCAAAGCTAACTAGTGTGTATGTGAATGAATAACCTGATTCTGTATGGGGCCCATGTTTTAATCGATAGCCATAATAATAATGCAGTCCTTGATATTATCAACTACATATAGGCCTACAGTGCCTACTGTTGTCAATGTTCTTTGATTTGCCAACTTTTCTCTTGTATGTATTCATTTCTACTCTTTCTATTTTATCTTTCACAGAAAGCAACTTCTCTGGCTTCAAGAATCGTGAGCTTTCCAGACGCATCCATCTCTTCATGATTGTGTGTCATCAGAGCATTTCTCCTGCATATTGTGGAAGCGTTGTGGGTGTGATTCTTGAGTTTCCGTGGCAACCCCTCGTCCCATGTCCCTCAGAGAGCACAACTTCCCTGCAAAGGGAGTCAAGAGAAGAAGAGAACCTCATCCCAGATGGACATTAAATCCTATATGAAAACATCCATCACTCGCATCTCAACATCCATCTCTATCCTACAATCTCAATCGCGTATCATCTACGATACATCCTAGTTTATCCTCCAGCGCACTTAAGGTCTCATCTTGCCACAGGTGAGGTGAGTTCTGTCGGTCGTTGACTCACCAGGGCAAGGAATAGTTTCCTTTGGTCAGAAGCCATCATCACGGCATCGCCACCCGTTCCCACCCATCGCTGCTCCTCGGTGCCCATCATCGGCAGCCTACTGTCCTCCTGGTGGTGGGGAGCTGAGCGGGATTGCATGTGTGGCTCTGTGGGGGCGCTAGACTGCACAAAGCTCCTCGGACACAGTACCTCTAAGACAGGCAAGATGGTGAAGACATTCCAGGCCTACCTGCCCAACTGCCATCGCAGGTATAGCTGTATCCACTGCAGGGCTCACTTGGCTAACCATGATGACTTAATATCAAAGGTAAACTACCAACTTTCTTTGGGACATCTCTTTGTATTGCTGATTATAGTGGACTTTTTCCACGTGTGATACTCCCATGTTTTCACTGACACATTTCGCAGTATTGATCCTGTCATTTTTCATTTCTCTCCAGTTGACATGAATTGTGAGGGTCATTTCATGACAATCTGTACCATTGGTTTACATTAGCTTTCAAGAAAATTCAGTGGCAATGAAGTTCAAGACAGTTGATGTAAAGCACAGATTTGGGTATATGGGACTTTACCAATATTTGGCATAAAAATCCGGTCCAAAGTTTGAAGCTTTTTCTATTTCTATTTTGAATATGAGGGGATTTTAAGAGCAATCTTTCCATGGAACAATTAATGCCTCTACAATGTTCTCCCACAAATGAGGAAAAACAAATAATAAGAAAGCTCCCAAATAATTTTCAAACTTGTACAATTACCAGAACTTGACCTTGTCCTTGGTTGATTTTAGAAAGGTAGAAAGGACTGTAATAACAATAACAAAGTCTGGACTGTCCCAGTGCTTAACAATGGATCTAACAATTCATTCATGACTCATTCTGTTATATAAACATGCATTGTCTAGTATGGCAATGGGAATTGGGATGATGATTGTATGCAACATTGCTGGTTAACAAAAGGTTGGTTTGACAGTTGGCACGCTGTATGACACAAACATCGACACCTGACTGTCAGGAAATAAACTTGTGCTCCATGTAGGGTTGGTGCTTATTTGCATGCAGTCGCAAGCTATGAAACATAGCACATGTTTTGCAATGTGACGAACTGATCGATCATTCATATATCGCTCAAATATATTTTTCACATGTGAAAAATAAAAAATAAGCAGGTTTTGTACCTTCCTTTGTCGGCTTAGTGTAGGAAGATTGGATGATAGCCTAGGCATACATGTATGCTTCATATCACCGTGCATTGTAACTACTGCAGCCTCTCATATTTCATTCCAAGATGATTACAGAGATACCAGTATTATCTGCGGAAATGAAAGTTGAAACGTCATTAATTATACTCCATTTCATTTATCCTGAACGGACAATCTTTCACTTCCTTTCTTTGATTTGATAAAGGCCTTTTCATGAGTGAAAATATTTGCATGGAAGCTTCGAGTGAGTGGGTTCCTGAAAGGTCTTCAAGAAGCTCTGGAAAATTCAAACAGAGCTGTAGGAGAAGGAAAAAATGTGAAAAACAACAAAGAAACACACATTTGACAAGGAAATCCTACTTACATGTACATGTAATACTAGACTAAAAATCGGGAAAGGGCTCTAGTAAAACAAAAAAAAATTCCTGGTAGTTTTTTACACTGCCCTTCAATTGTAAATGCTACATGTATCATACAATTCTTGCTTACAGATCTCCAAGAAGTACATGCATATGAAAGGTTGCTTTGATGTAAACCTCACTTGACCGTGTTATGAACTTGTGAACCCAAGTAGATATGTCATTAAATATTAAACATGATTCTAGACAGGGAAGGAATGAAAACAACCTCTGATGCACACATCGTCTTGCCAACATGTAGTCTAAGAATTTAGGACTGAATAATAATCATTCATATTTAATAATATATTAGTTTATACATTTTCCTTTAAGAGAGCGGATGAATTTTACACTAATGTTAAAATGAAAGGCCGGTCATGAAAATTTGAACACCTTTTCTACAAGGGTTACTTAGAGAATGCAATGCATATAAACAAGTATGATTCTATTCTGGAAAATACTAAAAATGAAGTATAGTGCCCCACCTGCCACCTCTCCTTGCCAAATATTAAGTTGAATGCATAATAGCCTGCGGGACTGATTATTTGCCAAATATTGTGCTATTTGCGAAGAGTCTGTATTTGTAGACTATCCTAAACCTTGACTGTTATGAAAGTAGCTTATAAACCACTTGTAATTCATAATTTGTGGTTTTCCTTTTCCCTTCCTGATGAGTTTGAAGTGAGAGTAGGAAGTCTACATTACAAGTCCCTAGAGAACTACAAAAACAAAGTCTATTACATGATATACCAAAACATCTAAATTGTCCAGCTTTGTAGACATCCCTTTGAGTCGCATCTTAAAGATAAACTCCAGTACTGGTAAAAAAAATAAATAATAATTCTCACAGAATCAAACGAAACTTACACTGAATGTTCAAGATTACAAATAAATGACATGTGCCAAACAATTTTGAAAGAAAATGTATACTGGCTGAGTAATGAGCATAGAAAGACAAGGAAATCAAGGTAGTACTAGCCCCGACACCATGAGTGTTGTCCCATATATAGCTTTCTATGTTAGTGTTTGTTACTTTACCAAGACTCGGTCAAATTTATTATGATTTTGATGACTCCAGAACCTTGCGGTGCACACCAATACTTACATGCTACATGATCAACTGTTTCTGATCCTTTCCACACCTTTTCTTTCACAATGATATCGCATTACCAGTACTAAAGTTTATCTTTAATTTGATAAAACTCATGAGGTCAACAGTATTTCAAACTAAATGTTTTTTAGTCTGGTTAGGGAGCTGGAAATAAAACATATGAAGATGGCCTTTAAAAAAAAATCTATTTATTTAATGAGACAATAATGTGGGTTGCTTGGTATTGCAATTAACATACCTTCTATTTAAAAACAAATGGACCCTTGCACTAACTATTAGCGGATCAGTGGAATAGCCATATCAAAACCACCGCTTTCCACTCTTAAGGCCTAGTCCATATGATACTGAATATGCTTTAACAAATTGGGATGAGTAAAATTAAGATGATACCATGCATATGATTGGCAAAAGTGGGGTGAAATAAAACGTAAATGCTACAAAAATGGCTGTTAAGTGTATTCACTTTTTTATGTAGTATAAGATACAGAATTGATTTTGGTGCTATGTTTGTAATCTAAAGTTTTTAAAAGCATCCCATGTGAAAGAGGCATGAAAAGGCTGAATTCCATCTACAGTACTTGTAAGATGTAGATGGATGAAGCAAAATGAATGAATAAAACATGAGCTTTGTAGAGAGTGTGATGTAAGTTTTTAAAAGCTTCTTGAATCTATTTGTGCAAAGGGTGCCTAGAAATATATGAGGAAATAGTTTCTCATGCCTAAAAAGGGTGGATATGTAGACCAATCCATTCAAATCAAGGTGAGCAATCTAGTTGGGGGGGGGGGGGGGAGCGGGTATTCATGAATACTTCAGAGACAGCAGTAAACTATAGAACCCCCTTATAAATGTAGGGTGACAATAAGATTCATGAATCCAATTAGCACTTAAGCGCTAGAATTTATAAATCTTTATTATTTAGTCCTTGATCTGACTCTTGCAAAATTTCTTAAAAGTGCCCATAAATCCTCATTTTGGAAGGGAATCCCAGAAAGTAGCTTAAAACCAAACCTTAGGAAGATTACAGTTTTGTCAAATTCTAAAGCAAAAAATCTTGTTATTGATGTAGATTTGTTGACTCTGGGAAAGGTCTCTTGTTGCAATTAAGATTTCTTTGAAGTCTATTTCAAATATGAAAATCATACTTTGTTTCTTTTCTTCTTTTTGATGGGGGTGGTGCTATAAAGTAGCTACTTTCGTCTTCTTCCATGTTGTTTTTTCTTTCACTCCTGAGGCAGGTAATCTTTCTACTATTTATGAGAGATTGGCTGCTTTGATAATATCCGAAACGTGCTCCAACCATCTCATCATCTCTTCCCTGCAGTGTGTTAGGTGCTAATCAGTATGATGGTGGAATTACTTTCCAATATCCATACAGAGTGATGTTGAGAAACATTCAAAGGATTATTCTCTCCCTCTTGACTGTGGATTCATGAATAGAATCACCATTAGAGATAGCATGCCTGGAGTGTTGTATCGGTGATGTGACATTTCCTCCTGCCATCACACCCCAGCCACACTGTCAAAAGGCTCCTTAGATAGACCCAATACCACTTGAGAATCTAATCAAAATTTCACTCCATTTTTGACCAAATATAAGAAAGGTGTACATATGATCATCGTTTTTGTGAGGAATTCTCAAAAGAAAGATCATTATTGCATAATATCTTCTAGACTGTATTCCTAAGAGATTTCTGGCCTTTGTCTACATGTAAGGGGGGGGGGGGTCTTTTTGTCCATGTCAATATCACACCATACAACAGCTTGCTACCTTTACTCTGTTAGAAACTAATTAGATTTTAATTATGGCCTACATGTCAATCAGTAGCTCACTAAACAAGTGTTTAACATGTGCAGCACTCTTGCAATTATAAGCCAGTGTTGATCAACTCTGAATCGAAGGTGGGATGAGACGGTAGTCGGAAATCATGTAATCAACATGGCTCTATTATTTAATTGAATGTAACTGCCTTCGGAAGCTTGTTTGAACTATAGACTTTATTTGCTAATTGCAATGAATTCCCAACTCTAGTCTACAGTCGACCAACAAGGATTTTTCTCCTCATATAATCCTTAAAAAAACTCTCTCAGAAAATCTCAGAATTAGCATGAAATCCAGGGGATTACTATTTAATGACTCTGTCATTCATATCTAGAGGCGATCATTATCTTTCTGCGTCCTCAAACTTTCTCAACTTATCAACAAAAGGCGCATTTATACTGTCAAATACCTCATTTCGAAAAATCGCGATGTTTGGCGCTCCCGTTTACACTTTTGCTGTAACATCACCGACTGAAAATCTCAGGGATGTTTTGGCGTGTTTTGGTTGTATAAACAAAGATATACAAATTAAAAAGAATAGGTCATTAAATTTCTGAATTTGTCTTTCTGAACGATCTATTGTGCAAGGTTTTGGTGTCTTGAGGATTGTGCATGTACATCATGCTATTCTGAATTCTAGATAGAATCTATAGAGAATGAATCTTGGATTATGAACATGTATGATGCAATTTATTCCTACAATTCATTCCTACAGGCTACATATCATTTTTTGTATCTCGTTTCAACCTCCTACCTTGTAGTAAACCAACCCCTTCCAATTTAATGGCAAATATATTTTGTATCTTGTTAGATGATAACCCAGGCTTGTTCACACTTCTACTGGTAGGAGTAAAGTACATGTAGATCATAAACATATATTTTCTTGCATCCGTACGACCAAAACAAATGCATCGAAGTGAAAGGTGCAAGAGGAAGCTGGTTATTATTGTTTTGGTTCAGCGAATTGGCTCCTATTATCTTTAGTTGAGACAAACCATTTCCTGATGTAGCTGTTGATATCTGTCAGACAATACACAGCTCAGCCAAAAGGCTGATTTTCCGGTCATAACAAACCCTTGTTTTCCGGTCATAACAAACCAGGCTTAGTTTACGGTTCATAACAAACCCTAGATTGCGGACACTGGCCCTTGTCAGTTGTATTGCGTAACAGTGTCTGCACTGTGAGACTAAGCTGACAGCATACTGCATAGGCTCTGCTCAAGGCTGTAGGTATTGTGGTGTACAATTTGAGTCTGAACCTGAAGACTAGGATATTGCATTGTATCATGTTCAAAGTATACAGGCCTCTATGCTTTGGTGACTTTGCCCTAATGCTTAACTGTATTATGACCATACATGTGTAGCTCAGTATTTACATTTACTTTTCACTTGTTATTCATTTTATGTATCACTTGTGCTGACTTTGCAAAAAAAGCTATGACGTATGCATCAGTTTTATAGTGGATTTTGGAATAAAAGGGCGTTAAGTAATTGTCTGTCCCTATCCCATCCAATGATTGATAATATATATAGGAAGGCTCTATTGTTTATACTCTTTACATAAGACATATACAAATTATGTATCGTTATATACTTGAATACCCTCACCCTAGGGTATAATTATGCAGACTATTATCATGTTTCATATATTTCACAGTAACATAAACACCTGAACTGCCTGGAAGACTGAGTTTGACCTCATGCTAAGCTTTAATTGCTTCAAAAGTTGTTTGTTATGATTTAAAAGTATTCTGAAGTCTGAAACCAAACTTGAGGTCAATGGTCATTTGGTTTTATATAAGGTTGCAATTTTTTTCTTCTGAAGTAGCATTCTGAGGTCATAATTCGTTCACCGTTGATTGCTGCTAAATGTTAGATGGTGACCTATCCCAGTTTTCCACTCTTTCTAAAAAAAAGTCCTCTGTCATTTAGATTGATTGAATCATATTCTTCTTCTTTTTTTTTTTTTTTTTTGCTACACTGTATTATGTAATTATAAACTTGTGCCATGAATATATGAGAAATATTATCATATTCATAGTGTGATGATCAAAGTAACAAAAGTAGGCAGCATACATGTACATCATCATCAAAGTTCTCATCTGAGTTTTTGTACAATTTCCACTTTTTTTTTATTATTGTTTTATTGTTATTATATTTTGAGTGTAAAAAAAATGACTGCATTCAAAGTAACATGTATTACATGTAGGTCTTGCCGCAGTATATTTATTCCTGTCATTTCTTTCTTATTCATTCTCTTTTTTTCCTCCCTCTTTTTTTTCTTTACAGTCATTTCAGGGTAGCCAAGGCAGGGCATATCTCTTCAATTCTGTGTAAGTATAATAAAACCATTCAACAACTTCCTTGTTTAACTCTTTTTATTTATTTTTTAAATCTCCTTTGTTTTATTATGTATATTGTACTTTGACTTGTTTATTTCTAACTTTCTTTTACTTGTTTATCTCTTTCTTTTACTTGTTTATCTCTTTCTTTGATATCTTTCAACCCTCAAGATAACAACATGATTGTTTGTGAATGTGTTTGTATTCTTGACCTACTTAAACAGTTTGTAAGTGTTTATTTTGTCTGCAGCTCATGTGAAAGTGGGTTTTTGTACAATTGTGAGGCACACATGTAGGTCTATTGAGTGCTTATAAATGTACAGTATGACTATACGTTTCTATGATAGCCTGTGTGTGTAATATTGTCTGCTTTACATCCACCCCCTCCATTACAACAATATGTAAATACAGAAGGAAATACCATTTTTAAAGAATAATGATTACATGAATTAATTAGTACATTAATAGGTACATTTCTCTCTCTCTCTCTCTCTCTCTCTCTCTCTCTCTCTCTCTCTCTCTCTCTCTCCCTCTCTCTCCCTCCCTCTCCCTCTCCTTCTCAATAAAGTTGATAAGACACGTTTTAAAATTAAATTCAGAATCCAATTTGATTTATTGTAAACAATGATTTGAAGTCCATAGAACATATAGGGTCTCAATGTTTAGTAAACATGGAGGCAGTCTGTATCAGTCAGTCCTCCATTGTTGTTATCTTACCATGTGTGATATTATGACCTGTGTGTTATTATGATGACCTGCATGATATGTGGGGAAGATACCCAGGGTAGTCCCATAGATTAATCATAGCTAGTCTACATGCAGACCCTTTATTTGTCTAAAGCTGTCAGGTACTGGTATATTATGATCAAGAGTGTTATTTTAGTCGTTTCAAATGGGAAAAAAGTTAGAATGGGCATGTAACACCATCAGCATGTACAATAAAATTATGTTCTGCTTGATAATTTTTATCAAACATTTCTCCTAATGACGTCTGCAGGGGATTGATGTTATGACTGTAAGGGTAATAAGATGATTAAGACTGCAGTGTCAGACTATCCAATGAATTCATAACAGTTGGACCTTGATACAGCATGATAGGTGTGTGTGGGGGTGGGGGTGGGGAGGGGGAGGGTGGCTGGATTATTCTGGCATGTGTCATCAATGTGTATTGAGCACATAAGCTTGGTAGGATAATAGTCTGCCAGCACAGACTCTAATTTGATTTAATTTTAATTAAATGGGGGCACAAAATAATTATTGTAATTAAAGGGCTTAGCTTAGTCATTTTAGAGGGGTATCATTGCCAATGAGTAGGGACATATCAAAGTTATGTGTGGGGCACTTGATAATTTGAATTGTATAGAACAGTATGCCATGATGATGTGCAGTTTAATAGGACATCATTTTAAAAATAAAAGATCAAAGAACCCTGTAAAGGTCACTGCAGCCTGGTATCTAGGGTTGTTCAATAATTTTTTAAGACATGATTCTGAGGAAAGGCATGATAAAAAATGGAGTGGGGTGCAGTAGCAAATTCCTAGTATAACCTCATAGAGTACAGATCATATTGATATATGTATGTAGATTGCTCATAAAAAAGTTGTTATGATGACAAGTTTACAAGGTCTTTGAGACAAAGAATTCCAAGATGCTGGTGCCTTTACTACACATAAAAGAAATTGATTTGAAACTTGAAAGAGGAGCAATGTAATGTACACTTAAGTTGTAGGAAACCTTCCATAATATGATCTTTGAAATGATGGATATATCAGTTGCCAGTTTCTTGACCTGATATGCAACCTTTAAAAGTGTATGCCTACGTGGTATAATGAACAGGATGTCATATTTTGTGGGTTTATAATATAGATATATTTTACAATCCCTTTCTACCGGCTTTACAAATATCCACATTTTATAGTCCCTTCTACTCCTCTTGGATCTTCAAAATCTAGGTTACCTGTTTAGGCTTTTCCTTTATATTGATAGAGTTTCTTACATTATAGCAGTATCCCTAGGGACCTCAAACATGAGCAGGAGTGATGCTGGCTTTCTGATGTAGGAGGAAGTGCATAGGAAATGTAAACCTACATGTATGACTGCTACAGTCCAACCCTCACAGTGTCCTACGCTACATGTAGCTTTACAGTGCCATGTTTACATTTTGTATGAAGTGCATGTTTGTGTCGCATGCAAGCTGGTTCAATAAACCAGATAAGTCTGTAGGTAGGTTCTGTAGAGCTGGCAGTGTAATTGTATGGGGTCTTTTCCCTTCGCAGTCCGTTTGTTATGGTATAGATTTTTCTTGCTATTGTTGCGCAATCATTGTCCACCAAATTGATCCCTGGGTACCTGTAGTAGTCTTTCACCTGTACCTTCTTTCAAACTCTCTAGGATTAAATATGGACAGATATTTACTATGTTTACTGTGGTATGGAACCAAAAACCTCACATATTTTGTGAGGGGTTCAGACAAATCAAAAATAAATAAACAATGAATTTTGCAATCCACTTTTCGTAAAAGTACAGTGGCTTTCATTTATAATATTAGGGGAAAAACTTTCATGTAGTACAAGTTTCTAATTTCAGTTTATTACCATGTAATAAATAAAAATAATAATATTTAATTTTTATACAGCGCTTCTAATACTTGCATTCAGGTACTATGATATGGTATTTTTAAAATGACTGGTACTTGTAATAAAAGCTTTATAATGATGCATGACTGTACTTTGCATAAAACTAGAAAGTACTGTGACATATGCACATTTTCATAAATTTTTCTGCCTGGGTCAAAAAGCGCTGTACAATCCAGGTCCTATGTAGCCTGTAGGCTCTTTACAGAAAGATGAGAAGAAAAACGAGCACAAAACCATTCCTTGAAATGATCTGTTTGTGGTAAAGGGTCAACCCATAACAAACTATAAGTATAAAAAGGGGGTCTGTTTGTGTAAACTAGTGTGAAGGTAACCAGTGAAAGTTCAGAACCCTCTTCCATGGCCTACCCTAATAACAATACAATAGTATGGATTCTACGTTTGTTATGGGAAGTAAGTAGAAAGGAAAGTCTTGGTTGGGTTGGGTGAAAACATTTCTATCCCAGGAAAAAGAAGAATGGATAGAGAGATAATCATAATAATAAAAGAAACCCACAAATAGAAGTAATTGAAATACAGAAGTGATCAAAAGATCTTATCACTGAGAAGAACTAATCAGAGATAAAAAGTAATAAAGTTCGAAGAAAAGAAAGAATTGTTCCTATTGTGTTGCATTTTCATGGTCTAGTTCTAGCATGGTATGGCAAGAAAAACTTGGCTGAAGAAGAAAAAAGAAAGAACATGTACCTCAAAATATATACTCACTTTGCTGGATTTAGCTGTGAGGTAAAAATAATAAAGCTTGCAACCTATTTATGGAAATATTGGATTAATAATGCTGGCATGAGGTGAAAGACAATGTATGGGAAACCTTTTGTTTTTCAAAGCTTTGTAAGTGTTTATCAAGGAAAAAAGGCTGTTTGGAAAATAAGACCGATTGTTTGGTTCTGATAAGAACGGACATGAAAAATAAAATGAAAGGTCCTGCGAATATTTTATTTAGCTTGCCAGCAGGGCATCAGCGCATCAGCTATGTTTGCCTGGATGCCTCCTGAAATCATTTAAAGTAGATTGTGAAAATTTATGTAGGTGGGGGGGGGGGGGTGTAGATTTGTAGATGTCTTCTGAGCTAATGAAATCCTTAAATCTTGTACAAAAATAGGGTCTAGTGACCAGCAGACAACATCACATCGTCCTTGTTGTGCTGTGGATTCAGGGAAACATGGAAGAAAAGGAACTGTAACACATGAGGAAACATGGTCAACATTTGAGATTAAACAAATGACCCCAATAACTAGGGTGAGGTTAAATGATTGTATGTTGACAGGTTTCTATTATTCTGGTACAATGAGAACTCTCAGAAACAAGGATATGCCAGAATAAGAATAGCTTTAAGTATAAGCATTGTCACAGTAAGGATTTCAAAATAGGAAAATAAAGGGCTTATTTGTAGATTCAACAACATGCCCTCTTCAGTAGTCCCCTCTCCATGAAGGCTATCAGCATGTGTTATTTGATATTCTATAACTTCCTGGATTTAAGATTGCCATGCTGTGCAATATTTTGGAGTGTTTATTTCTTTATTTTTATTTTGTCCCCCCCCCCCCACTCCCATTATATATATATATATATACTGGTATGATTGATAAACATGCTTAGCACATACATGTACAGTGTGTAAAGGCTGCATGTAGCTTACATCTACAAGTACATGTAGGTCTTGTTCTGTGAACAAGCAAGGATCCATTGATTTTTACTCCTTCTATTGATCAGTATACCTAAGTTTTTTGTTCCATTTCATAGAAAAAAATCATCCTTCACTACTCAGTGGTAATACCATGGACCTTCAAGTCAAATAGATTAACTACATAGTTGTAGAATGTAGATGCTTGGTTTATCGTTGCAAGTAATTAACATGTAAAGCAGTTATTCTGATTGTATTTTTATGTATTGTTCATGAATTGCTTAGAAATATATCATGGGAATGTTCTGTATACCTGATGAATGAAGGTTACAAAAATAACAATAACCCCATGAAAGGTTGGACTCCTTTAAATATCCATACAGTTTGTAGAATTATTAGAAGTGATAAGGAATGATATTTTAAGAGAAAAATTGAATCACATGCCTTCTTAAATCATGTTAGCATAATTTTAGCATTAACATTGAACTATTTCGGCAACAAATGGCAAAAAAAGGGGAAATATTATTTTGTCAACTCCATATGTTTGCAATGCACATAAGACCGAGATGTATATTTAGTCGATCCTGTTCTAACTTATAATAAGATTTAGCCGTAATGTAATTTTCAGTGGCTTTGAATAAATCCCTTGATAAAGACTATCAAATGCTGTGGTCAAATGGTTAATTATTTCCATACCATTAGACTAATCACCAAATCCCTTTCCTTCTCAAATACTGCACATTTAATCAGCCTTTCCATTAGTACATATTCTTTTGACACAAAGAGTTCACTTTGCGGCACATTTCAGGATGCAGAACTTTTCTGATGACATATATCACATTGATTTTATCACATTAAAAATACATTAATAAAACACAGGCTTATGTTACAATGTTGATCACTTCCCATACAACTCTGTTGATGGTTAGATTTAAAAAAAACTTGACATGTATGGTTGTGATACAGCTAGAAATATAAAATCATAGGGTTTATCTTCCTTCGATGGAAAAGATAATGAGAGCCTCTGAAAGGCAATATTCCCCAAAACCCTCTGAAAAATCCACAATGAATAAAAAATAGAAATATCACTTATCATATATATGTTGGCAATATCTATACAAGTCCAATTTATTATTTATCAGACTTTCTGATGGAGTGTGTTCTACCGAGTCTGTATTAAAATCCAGCAATTTCCTCAAGGATTTTGAAATGGAGAGATTGTTGAGTTCATACAGTCCAGACCCAGCTTAAATGTCATGATAGTAAAATTTGTTTACATATATCTCTTTATTTGGCAACTACCAGCTTTTCTCACCTAACCAAATGAATACTGCAAGGAGAAATTTTAGATGTGATCGATCAGAGACAGGAAATATTTGATATCTAAACCGTCTTTGTGATCTTGAAACGTGAGGATGAAGCTGGTAGAGATGCAAGATAATATGATGGTATCTCTTCCTCTAGAAAGTGATACAAGGAAACCCAGATACCATTACACTCCAAGCTTGTGTTCACACTCTACATCCTCAAGACAATCTAAAGCAAACGTTCAAAAGTGATTTGTGATCATGTACTTAGGTATTGGGGTGGAGTTGGATTAAATTTGACTGTAAAGGGTTTAAATGTACATTTAATTTAAACAAAAAGGTACTGTGCTATTTTGTTTGATATTTTGGCTGATATTGTCATGTAAACAAAACACTTTGGCAGTTTAGTGCAATTTCTTTCTTTTTTTTTTTCTTTTATAATATGGGGGGGGGGGGGGGGAGGTTCTTTTTCATATCCTGGGCATATTATTTCTTAGCCCTTTTTTATGTCTTACCTTTCTGCAGGAGAATGTATCTTCCGGTATGCAACTTAGTTTGAAAAATAAGACATGATATCATTTGCGTGAAAAGAGACTGTGTGCCCTTGTATGCCATAAGGAAGTGCAGGCTATTGTTTGTCAACAACACCTTCATAAGGAAGAACGGTAGAGATAATGGAAATCAAACTGAACTCAAGGAAAATTCGCTCATGGAGATTGTTTTTGTTATTGTTTATGTAAAGTCTATAGTCAGAATTGCATGAGGAATTGCTCTGTGTAAAAGAAGAGGGAAGGAGGAAGAATTAACAAACTTTTAGGACACATTGTTACGATGTATACATTGCACGGGCAACAGAGCTGATTCTGCTTGTGTAATGATGGCCCTCGTTTACCGTTGTTATACTCAAACATTTTGGACGTGTATGAGGAAGTTGTTATTAAGATTGTTGCAAGAGGAACTTGTCTTATGTTTGCAGTCACATCACCTTTGTTATGGCATATCAGTAAAGGTCAGAGGGTTGTAGAATGAGGGATGTGTATACTAAGATGATATATCTTCCAATGTAAAGTCTGCAAACTCATAATTTTGTATGGTAAGAGCCAAAAAGGCATTAAATCACACACTTTCCTGCAACACACAGTTAAGCCCTTCTAGCTTTAGATGGATAATAAGTTTTATGGTTCACAATTCCAACATCTCCACACTTTGCATATTCTGAAAAATATATCTATAAAGCGTACCAGTATACTGATACAAGATACAAGGAAGTTCAATGAAAACCAGGTCATATGTTTTTACTCTGTGAAGGCTGAAGAAGGTTGTTTTTTATGAAACAAGGTTACTTCCTTTCCAACCATGAACAAAGAGTTTCTCGCTCTCGCTCTCTCTCTCTCTCTCTCTTTATCTCTCTTTCCCTCTCTCTCTCTCTTTCCCTTTCTCTCTTACCCTCTCTCTCTCTTTGCCTCTCTCTCTCTCTCTCTTTCCTTCTCTTTCCTCCTCTTTCTCTCTCCTTCTCTTTCTCTCTCTCTCTCTTTATCTCTCTATCTCTCTTTCCCTCTCTCTCTTACCCTCTCTCTCTCTTTCCCTCTCTCTCTCTTTCCCTCTCTCTCTCTTTCCCTCTCTCTCTCTCTCTTACCCTCTCTCTCTCTTTCCCTCTCTCTCTCCCCCCCTCTCTCTCTCTTTCCATCTCTCTTTCCCTCTCTCTCCCTTACTATATCTCTCTCCCTCTCTCTTTCCCTCTCGTGTCATCAAACCATAAAAAGCACTTCAGCACAACGTCCATGTAAATGAGCTTTGGTTACATTGGTTATCGCTAGATCAAGTGCTCTGACATGAGAGCCAGAAGGTCATTGATCACCTCCTCTAACACAGAGTTAACACCCTTCTTCCTCTGGACAGATGATATCTTCATATGATGTGGAGTTGTTATACTTGGAATACAAGAGGAAACTTGATCTCTTTGACTCTGACACAGTTTTTAGCCACATCCTGGGTGATTTATGCACCTTTGGTGCTAGGGAGTCATTCAGAGCTGAAATGGGACTAGTGTTGTGTTTATTGTGATTATCTGATGTAATTGAAATCCAGGTGATTTATAGGAGAGGTTCGCATCAAAGAATTGATTGATGAATGGTAAAAGAAATGGGAAGGCAAGCAGTGTACTCAAATGAACTTCCATTTGGAACGATGTTTCTCTTGCAACTAACACAGTTACATTGATTAATCTGGTAATTGCAAGAATTCTTTTAAAATTGATTGATTTGATTTCATAGTTAGTAATCCCTGGTCCCATATATGTATAATTTTGTCTGGAATTTGTTTTTGACATCCATCAATTTTTTTTCTAGAAGAATGTCTTGTTGTTTCATCCTGTCAATTATTGTTTGATGTTGTGTCATTGCAGGGTGAACGTTGGTTGCGGACCTGCAGAAGAGAGGGTCCTTCTCACTGGTCTCCATGCCGTCTCAGATATCTACTGTGAGTGCTGCAAAACCACTCTAGGATGGAAATATGTAAGTATTGTACACAGTTTTAAAGGTGATTCCAAAGCTGATCATGAGTTTGGTAATGGAATTGCATATCAATAGAACTGTACATGTTAGTCTGGTATACTTCAAGGCTGGATTGGCTTAAAGTCATTTTAATGGTTAATTGTGCAGTTAGGTGTGAGGACCAGCAAAAAGTAAACTGATTAACAACAATTCAGAAAAACTTATTCCATATCCTTGGAATAATAATATTATTAAAATACAAAACTAACATTTTACCTTGAATCTTCATTATTTGTTGGCATTTATCCATTTAAAAATATTCCAATGTGTGATTGGCATGTCTTTTGTAATCTAGGTATTGAGGGAACATCTTCTAAATCAACAAGCTTTTGTAATTGAATTGGCAATCATCCAGTAAATAGAAGAAACAAATAAAGGGATTGGCAGAAAAAGCTTGTTTCAATATAAAACTATGATGCATTACCAAATATGAACTTCCTGTGCCATTGGCCTGTAAAGGTACTCTTTGTTTTGCTGATTATTGGTTAAAACGTGAAAACCCAAACAAACCGTAAACCTTATATCACCCCCTTCAGCCTGGTCTGGTGTCCATAATATTTGCACAGACGTCACTGGGTCATCTTTGTTCCTCCAGTATAAGTGCTTCTACAATGATCATTATTCATTGTAGATAACAACATCCGCAGTTAGTCACCTCATAGCTTTCTAGTTAGGGACAAAGTATTGTTTACCAGAGCATGGTCCATTCCATAAATGCCCCCAGTTCATATTTACATCTCCATTTATTAAGCAAAGAAACTTAATGATTATTGACTAGAGGAAACTAGTCCATGAATAAGAACCTTTGAGAAATGGGGTTCTGTTTGTCCTTGCTCTGTGTTTGTATTCAAGATTATGAGGAACATAACTAAAATGAGCAATTTATCATTGTGCTTCACCATTTGAGTTCATATTGGCCCAAAGTACAGACTGGCTGGCATCACTATTACCGTCACAGAAAAACATTGTGAGATTCTGCGCAGGTGATTGTAGAGGGAGTGATAGGAAGCAGAAGATAATGTGATTGGCTGAGAGCCAGAAGGACATTGACTCATGTGCTTTCAACACAGAGTTAGCGTCCTTCTGGCATTTAAATGATGTTTCAATCAAAGAGAAGAGTTGCAGACAGAATTGTGGATATCTCCTCAGTGATGACACAATCCCTTTTGTTTTTGGTTGTTGAAATTATTCTATAGGCAGCTGATACTTTGCTGTCAGTTAACGATTGATAGTAGTCAGCTGTTCTTGCGTTGCGCCATACACCGAAACCCATTTGAAACGTGTGAATTTTTCACCTAGCGCACATGTTCTCTCAGATAGCGGCGTGACTTGTGATGATGGTTGTTATGGTACCGAGGGGTTGTTTTCTCATCATTATGCGAGGTGGGATAAGTTTTCTAGGTTTTAGCAACTGAGGAGAAACCTGTAAAAAAAGAAAAGAAAGAGAGAGACCCCCCCCCCCCCCCCAAAAAAAAAAATGAAAAAGAAAGGAAACTTGAGATGAGTAGTCCTAACCCTTATGCAGATAACACTCTATATCACAGGCAAAATAGGATAATGAATGTGAGTTTTCAACAAGTATTAAATCCTGTTTTTGCAAACAAGAACACATTGCTCTTGTATAGGGCATATCACAGGCAATTTCTGTGTGGCTTTAAGAGAGCTTTTGATTATGTACTTCCCAAGTTCCCGATATATTCAAAATGACAGTGAGCTGGTCTCCTCCGGATTGCAGTCCCCTTAAGCTGTTCCATTACCAGAGCTTAAGATGAGCTTTAATTTACAATTACCTTGTTTTTGAAGCTGGTCAGGTACTTCAAGTGTAAATGCAATCTGTGCAGGCTTCATGTGCATCCTTTACAAGAGCACTTAGAACTAAAAGCTAAGTGCACAATGCTTCAAATACAAAGCTCTTGAATTAGCTCGGTAGAACTCTAAGATTTGTCATTATTATAATGGCAGGAAGGTGGAATTGGAAATTAATTTGTCTCTGGTTGTTGTTGAAATACGGATATTCCTCCGAGCTATAGTAATTTTAATTTCCTGCGCTCCTCTTGTTCTGCCAGAAAGCCATCAATCAAAATTTTATTATTCTCATATATAATAATCTTCTAAAGTCCACTCCAAATTTTATTCAGTTAAAACCGAAAATGGAAATTCTTTTTGCCCAATTGATCGTGAGCCCGGCAGCCACTGAGCAGCGCCAGATCGACATTGCTCTCTCCCTTATTGTTGAACGCCAAACAAGGTAGCAGCAACTCCTGTCTTTTAACGTAATTTGGTATGACGCGACCGGGGTTTGAACCCACGACCTCCTGGCTGTGAGGCGGACGCTCTACTGACTGAGCTAACACACGGTATTACAGTCATATACAGTAACACCGGTCATACAGTCACAATCACTAGAGGTACTCTTCTAATTCAAACTAGAAATACATGATCAAAAAACTTTCAAAAAGACTATGGGAGGTAAGATGAGGTAAATGGTGACAAACTTACAATCATTTGAATTTATCATGAAATTACTCCTCTATTTATGATGATATCTCTGACTTTAGGGCTATTTTTCTAACCCCAGTACAAATAACCTTTCAATCATACAAAATAACTTTTTTTTTAAAGTCTAAAAATCCTTGTAATGGTGATGATTATTCTTAACCTTTCATTGATATTCCTACATTTCCAAAGAATTTAACCTTATTATTGTGTTATACATTGTGACCTATTTATTAATTTCTCTTGTCTATTTTTTCTCTCCTTTTCTTTCCTCTCTCAGGAGCACGCATTTGAGAACAGCCAGAAGTACAAGGAAGGGAAGTATATCATTGAGCTTGCCCACATGATAAAAGACAACGGATGGGACTGCGACTGAAATAAACAAACAAACAAACAAACAAACACAGATATGTATCATACCGCCTGGCCTTGTTGTTTATCAGTCAACAGCACTTCTACTTGAATCTGCTTTCTCAGCCTACCCAGCCCCGCCACCCCCTACCCTGACCAGTGTTTCAACAAATTGATATCTTCAAGATGACGGTGATTGCAAATTACTTTTGTCTACACTTCAACATTGGCAGTGTATCCTTGATTCTTTTTCCTCAAGCACTGCTAATGATGGCGCCGGCCTTTTTCGGTATGTCCATGTATTTTTCTCCATTATAATACATCATTCTTTATGAAGTATGTGATATGATGAGGAAGGAACCAACAAAAGCAAATGCTTGCAACATATCTGCATTTACCATATATCACTCTCAACCATCTGCAATATGCAGAAAAGCTCAGCTGATGACATCATCAATGACATCATCGCTTCAGCTTCATTTGGACCAAGTTCGCAAGAATCATTTTGTAAATGAATATCAGATTAACAACATGGTCATATTAGCTTATTGTGTGTGAGGGAAAAATTGAATTATATATTTGGCACGCATTCAAATATGTCATTGTAAGTTCTAATTTGTAATGATTATTTTTTGAGAAGCATAAATGGTGTGGAGATGCGGCGTAATATTGATGGTAGAGATGGAAATAGAAAGCAAATGGATGGTACTATCTAGGTAGAAAGAACAATTGAAAGGAGCAGGGCGATGGTGAGGTGTGATGAGCCGGAATTGGTGCAATGAGCAGAGGGAGCGTGCTACGGTAGAAGAAGAAGCGGTCGCAATTATTCTTCGTCCATGATCGACACAGGGCGACATGAAAGGCAGAAGGACTTATAGGAAGACTCGATTGGTTAAAGCTAATCAGCGGTGGAACAGTTCGGACTTATGTATCCATTTTCAACGTGGACAGAAGTTTGGCGTGTTATCGTCGAATCAACAGCAGACACATCGGTCACTTGTTCGGAAACATGACCGAATACAATGTTGATTGCTGCGAAGGTTAAGGACAGCCTTTTTTTAAGCAGATGCCTCCACAAGGCATGATGAATATGCATGAGCATTGCATCATGAATATGCATAAGGGCTTATCGCCGTTCAGCGGTACTTGATGTTTAAAACCTGATTGATTATCAGGTCGAGAAGTCATCTTGAATGTGTCGAGTTGGTATCGGTCTGAAGGATATAACCCGAGTGTTATGCTTGTGGGGAGTTTGGCGTGAGACGAGAGAGCACAATTGTACAGAATTTTATGTTAAGGCAGTGCATGCATCTCCAATGCATGATGCAGTTTGTAGAGGTTTTATTACTTTGATGTAGGAAGAAGATGTGCATGCATGAGGCGATGAGCAGAGGATGTTAAGATATAACCTTTTGATGCAGTCACGATGTAAATGATATATCCTTTTTTTCTTAGGGAAAGAGAGCTCCGAAAGGCTTATTTTGTACAATCTTGTGTATATATTCCTCTTACCAGAATGCATAGGCCATACACGTAGGTGTATCTTCACCTGAGAGAAAGTGATATATGCGCATTGTGATCCAAAAGGGTGTTCATGTGTATGGCACTGTCCGAGACTTGTGTTGTGTAGCAGTGTGCATGGTCTCACAGCATAGAGTGAAAGAAAATGGGCTCGTTTGTGTTGATAACTTACCGCTAGATTGTTCCACTGGGATATATTGAGATTCAAAGAGTTTTAAATGATGTATAATGCCTTCACCATGTAGTAGTGTATATGATGTTATGGAGAGGAAAAGGTGTGAGTGAGTGGGTGAATATATGTGGGAGTGTGTGTGTGTGTGATAGTGTATGAGTGAATGAATAAATGAATGACATCAAAACAATATGATATGTTGTCGCGTACTTGTCATTAAAATGTACTATAACTTCAGATTTATCAAGTGCAAAGATACTGCTATAATAGTATCACAAACAAAACATTTTGATATACATGTATTATTAAACTTCACAGCAGCAACCCAATCAAGTTATCATGATGGAATAGTGAAATTCAATGCTAATTCTGGTCAGGTTTATCTCTGTCCAAATGTACATGCATGTACTGGTATTTGAGCATCATGGCTAATAGATTTTGTTACCCTGGATTATAATTGTAATGTAAATCCTCATGTTTTTGTTTTTGTTTTTACATGCACTGTATCAAAGCAGAAATGGGTTCAAATTTATCAAAAGCTAAATCATACTTATATTTGAGTGTGAATTAATTAGCTCTGAAATCAACTGAGGGATAAAAATATAATATTTTAACATTTAGGTCTGATTCGTTGACATATGGAGAGTATTTTAAAGTCACTGGAATGTATTACTCACAGTGCTACATTGTTGATCATGAGGACCAAAATTAGCTTGCACTTTGTCTGCCGAGAGCCAGGAGGGTACTAAACTTGTATACCATACTTTCATATAGAGAGCTAACACTTTTCTTGCTCCCATCATCTAATCAGGAGTGTACGAGGCTGAAATGCCTTGAAAGAGATCACTAGTGTTTTCGTCTCTGATGGCAGATACAGAAGGCCCCAGTACGAATGGAAATAATGATGATTGTAATGTACATTTGTAAAGAAAATTGTAATTTTCTCTAACTTCTTGAATTGCAAGGGGGAAAAGAGAGTTAGTATATTTTGCTTATGGATTTCTAACAACTACTCTGTTCAGTCTGGAGCATAACATCATTACACATTCAGGTGCAAGAGTGAATTTGAAAATTCTTTTTCTCCTGCTTTAGAAGCATTTCTAAATATATGCATTTTATGAAAACTACTATGTGAAATATTATTCCATCAGTGTAGTTTACATGGTCTCTTTAGACTCAGACGGGCATTGACTCTGTGATAAAGTTTATTGAGTTAACGCCCTTCCGGCTCCAAACAGAAGCATGTAGTACGCTCTTTTCAGTCTTCTGTGTATGAAGCGCAGGCTCACTGCACTTGTATACGTCACAGCCTTGTATTATCATTACATTTCACTTCAAATACAAGAACACTTTGGCCCGAATTCACAAAGCAGGGTTTGAGCTCAAACCTCCTTTTGTTTCGCCAAACCTCCTTTTGTTCTTTACAAACCAGGTTTGTAAAAAACGAGTAAAACGAGTCATATGACGTACAAAACCAAGGTTTGTCGACAAACCTCCTTTGTGATTTGGGCCTTTGTGTCTTGATGATAACTTAAAGCAGTTCTGAAAAGACATTTTTTCTGTGACAGAGTTGGTCAAACCTGTATTTCAAGATCACTAAAGGGAATGAGAAAACCTGTGTTTAACTAAGGACAGTTGGTTTTAAGCTTCCTTTCATTACAGCTTTTGATGAAAAAAATGCTCAAGGAATGCAAGATTGTGTCTTTATAGACAGGTGGTCTTTATAGACAGTTGGTCTTTATAGGCAGTTGGTCTTTATAGACAGGTGGTCTTTATATGGGACAGGTTCAATCACTGTGAATGATACACTAGTTGTTTTGAATATGAGATATCCTTTCTTTCAAACTTTTTAAGAGACAACACTTCATAATTTGGACTTGACCAGACAAAGATCAATGGCATTAAAATATAAACCTTGCTCATAAATATTTAAGGAGTAATATTTGTTTCCATTACTTATGATATGATATAGGTTCAGTGATATGTACTCTATATGCTTGCATTGTTGAAGGATCAATTCTGTCTTTAAGATATTCTTTGCAGAAGGTTTTGATTGTGGTTTCTATCTGTAGTCAAGTCATGTAAAAGCAATATTTGTTTCTTGCTATATACATTATGTGTATTTAAGTGTTATTTACTTTTGGTTTCGACCCTTTTCAAGGAGAGGAAGTCCTTTTTATACACCAAAATAGTTTCAAAACAATATTATCTAATGCCTCGATTTCTGGCAGATGCTGGGTATAAGTAACCTTGCCTTTCACACACTGAGTTGGAATCTGTTTTGTAAGCCATCATGCTGATGTTCAGTTATATGTGAACAGACCATCTTGATAATTGAGGAAAAATATAAGAAAGTAAGTTCGGTGTATTTAATTTTATCTCCTGCTAAAACCCAGAGGGGTGTCAACTCTGAATGAAGTTAAATGAGTAAACCCCATTCTGGCTTTCAGGAAATGATATCACATTGAAATCAATTTTCTTGAAAAGCTCTTTTTAAACAGATGCAATTTGTGGTTTTGGATACTTGAGTTGCAAGTTTTAAAAAAATTGTAATTTGTGAATACATTCCTCTCTCCCTACTTGAATGACTTGAGAATTCTCATATTTCCTTGTCAAAATTTAGCTCATTTATTTTACAATAGTTACCTCATCTTTCATATTCAGTTTGAATAACTTCAAGATGGTACTTAAAATTTTCTTTCCAATTATGATAACAGATGGATCAATCATTCTCTAAGTATGAACACACATAGCTTTGATAAACAGAAAAGAAACAGGAAAAAAGAAGTCAGTTCACATTTATTTTTGTTTCTGTTCATAGAAGAGTTAAAGGATTCCTTTTCAATGTGTGAAAGCTGGGTTTGTTTTTCTTCAGGAAACATGTTTGATAAAGCACTTTACTTGATAGGTGAATGTTTACATTGGAATTGGAGAGAACTAAATGCAATTACAACCAAGAACTATTAGCTTGCCATGATTTAATTTTGGATAAAAATATAAAAATGATTTCAATATGAGAAGGAAGGTTATCTGTTTCAGTCTAATAACAAATAAGAGTGCAAAAATATTTTTTTAATTAAGCCTATTTTTCATGGTATTATGAGATTAAAATGAAATTTGAAGTAACAATTTTATTAGTCCAGACATGTGGTTGCTGTTATTGTTTTGATTGTAGTGTTTTTTCCTTCATGTTTTGATCTTATATATAGTATTATATATTGTGTGTATAGTATTTAATAACACCTCTGTATACATTGTAAATAGTCAAACGCTTGTTATTTCCTGAGTGAAATTAAACTTTGTGCAAGTTGTCTGTGAAACACGCTAAATATGATTCATGTGTTTTCTTTCTTGGATTTGTGCCATACCCCCCCCCCCCCCCCCCCCATCCCTGAGAAGTCTGGATCTGCTACCATATAGCAACATGTTGAAGATGGTGAGGGTAGGTGAGCTAAGGAGGAGGGGGGGGGGGCAGATTAAGCAGGAAACAGAGAGAGAGAGAGAGAGGGAGATAAAATGGGGCATACATAGCAAAATGTAGATGAAGGAATAAGAGCAGAGGAAGGAGAGAGACAGACAATAAGGAATAGGTAGTGCAATTTACAAGACAACAGAAATGAGCATAGATACATCTCAAGAGAGAGAATGAGTGAGTAAGATGGGAATACAAGGCAAACATTTAAAAGATGATGAGAGTGTAACAAGAGGAAGAGAAGGTGGGTGGGAGTCAGTGGGCATAATATTTGTCTCTAACCTTGACTTCACCTTTTTAAGGAAAGAGATGGAAATTGGTTAGAATGACTCAACAGTTCATGTAGACTGCTCGTCATGTGATCAGAGATGATGTCAATTATGACTCTTCTCT